ATCAATGCATCTCCAGGAGGAAAGTTCAGTGTCTGCATGCAGAGGGAGGAGACATTGAATGACAGTGCTGCTTACTCTGCAGCACTGCCCAAGGAAGTAGCTTTAGCAGCCATCTAAGGATTGGCCAGTGGAGGGTTTTTTTCTCTGAAAATACAGTGTTTACTGCAAAAGGCCTGAAGGGAATGATTCTACTCACCAGAACAAATGCAATAAGCTGTAGTTGTTCTGGTCAGTATAGTGTCCCTTTATTCACTTCTGGTGGCCATTTGCTCATAAATATTTCATGTTGTAACCTGCCTTATGGTCAGAAATTAAATAAAGTGGCTATTCACTATCTGCTACTTAGTATTATCTAAATATGTTTCATTGTAACAAGCTATTTGAAGGTCAGGACAATTGTTATAACAGATTCTTACCCATAAGTCATGTTCAGCATAATCAAAGAGCAGCCAAACTTTTCTATCGCTGTGAGACAGGAATACTTTTTGTAATGCAATCACATTTGGATGCTTCAATTCACGTAACAGCTGAAAAATAAGATGGGACATATTTATGTTACAGAACAGATCTGCATGCAATGACTTAAAATCACTGAAATTCAAAGATTAATGTACATATATATGGTGCATTAGTACTGTGGTACACTCCTATTACTATAAGCTATGAAGTAGGGTTATGGTTTGGAAATCACACTGAAGAAAATAAAATTAAAAGATAAAACAATCATTTTACTTACTGCTACTACAAAGGGGTATTCACATCTGTACGTTTGGGTCAGTTGGCTACTTTGCAAAATGGGAGATTTTACTTCTTTAAAGATCAACAGAAACATATTGATCATATAACAATTCTATTGTACACTATGCTCAAATGAGAGAATAGTGATCAGAAAGAAGAAAAGGAGGAATGAGAAAATTAATTGGCAATGGTTAAAATCTATTACTTTACTTTATCTGTAAAAACAATGCATTAGGCAGATGCCACAGAAGATAAAGATTTCCTATAAGGGAATTCAATACAATGATCCATTAATCTTTTAATTTACTTAGTGGTACCATACCTTTACAAAGCATACACATCAGTTGGGGAAGTGATTGTAGGATGAAGAAAATATGAACAGAGAGGTAAAAATAAAATAAAAACATACACATAATATTAAAGGACCACTATAGTGCCAGGAAAACATACTCGTGCCCCCACCCTCAGGGTCCCTCACCCGCCCGGCTCTAGGGAGAGAAAAGGGGTAAAAACTTACCTTTTTCCAGCGCTGGGCGGGGAGCTCTCCTCTTCCGATCCTCCTCCTCTCCGCCCATTTGGCTGAATGCGCACGCGCATTCAGCCGGTCGCATAGGAAAGCATTTACAATGCTTTCACATGGACGCTTGCATGCTCTCACTGTGATTTTCACAGTGAGAATAACGCAAGCACCTCTAGCGGCTGTCAATGAGACAGCCGCTAGAGGCTTTGGAGGAAGGATTAACCCATTTATAAACATAGCAGTTTCTCTGAAACTGCTATGTTTATAAAAAAATGGGTTAACCCTAGCTAGACCTGGCACCCAGACCACTTCATTAAGCTGAAGTGGTCTGGGTGCCTAGAGTGGTCCTTTAATAAGAGCAAATAAGAAATGTTAAATGATGTGAGTTGCCAATTATAAAATCCTTCTCAATTTCCCCTTTGATAGCACCGTCTGTCGCCAAATTCTATTCTCTGGTTGACATGAGCAATCAGGCTGCAGTTGAGTTCCAGAACTTTGAGTGTTATAAGGGAAAGATATAGCAAGTTGATGTCAGTTCCAACACCCAGTAAAAGCATAGCCAGATTACTCAGAATAAGATAACCTATCCAAAACTGTATTACATTCTTGAACTTTACCAGACTCTTGGAATAGTATATTGTAGTGTTTGCATCACCTGCTTATCATTCCTATGTTGATAATATGTTCTTGATATCCATAAATTGGTGCAGATGTTGCCTTGTTATCTGAAAGATGGAATAGCTAATGCAGAATTTCACTTCTGTGTTCTGCATTAGCTGTGTGACAGTTGAAGGGCCAGTGATAAAGTCATGGGATGAGCTCTGGATTTTATCAGACTTTTCAAAATTGGTTTCACAGTGGAAGGGAAGAAGCCCACAGACCACTACAATTATGATTCTTTGAGTGCCCTTTAATGTCCAAACCATGTAATTACAGCAGCCAGGGCTTTTACTGTTACTATTTGTAGACTCTACCATAGTCTTCAATTCTTTAGGAAGTTCCTCAAAACACATCTATTGGAATCATAAAACACTGGAAGCATAGCAAACTAGGAACATTTTTCCATTTTGCATTAACTTTGAATTCCTGACAATCCTCAATGCATAACCCTGCTAGTATTCAGAATATATGCATGTGCTGATTTTTCTACATTTCAATACGAATGAGATATGCACTGAGCAAAATGCTAAACGCAACGCTTTTGTTTTCATGATTAGACAGCATGATTATTGCAAAGGTGTGCCTTAGGCTGGCCACAATAAAAGGCCACTCTAAAATGTGCAGCTTTACTGTATTGGGAGAGATCTGGGGGGTCCGAAAACCAGTCAGTATCTGGTGTGACCACCATTTGACTCACGCAGTGCAACACATCTCGGTCGCAAAGAGTTGATCAGGTTGTTTATTGTGGACTGTGGAATGTTGGTCCACTCCTGTTCAATGGCTGGATATTGGCAGGACCTGGAACACGCTGTCGTATACGCTGATCCCAAACATGCTCAATGGGTGACATGTCCGATGAGAATGCTGGCCATGCAAGTACTGGGATGTTTTCAGCTTCCAGGAATTGTGTACAGATCCTTGCAACATGGGGCTGTGTATTATCATGCTGCAACATGAGGTGGGGGTCGTGGATGAATGGCACAACAATGGGCCTCAGGATCTCATCACAGTATCTCTGTGCATTCAAGATGCCATCAATAAAATGCACTAGACATGTGCAATTCGGGCAATTCGGACATTTGGGTACTTCCGAATGTCCGAATAGATGAATTGCCGAATTGCCAAATGGTTGAAGTCCCGAAATTCAGAAATTACCGAATTTCCGAAGTGTCGAATTGCTGAAGTGCTGAAGTACAGTATTGCCTAAGAACTAATATAGAATGAAGAATGTTAAACTTTATACAATTTTAAATAAAAAGTATACAAAAATAGCCAGGATTCAGCTGTAAGCATTTGCAACACTTACAACAATCAAGTAACATACATTCATATAAAATGTAAGTTACTTAGCCAGTCAGTGTAATGACAGGAATGAATAAGTAGATAACTCCCTAATTCCCACGGTATTAGGGAGCTATCTACTAAAAGGCTCAAAGACCTAAATTGGTCTTTCGGCCAAATTTACTAATACTAAGTAAAGATTACTAGGTATTAGTAAATTATGCCCCTACTCGCTATACTGCGATCAGGGGTGGGGGCCGGGGGGGACAATCGGGCCCCCCTTCAGGTTAGAAGCCACCACTTGCGCAGCACGGGTAGGGGCTCGGGAGGGGGGGACCTTTTTAATTTGGGGGGGGGGAGGGCCAGGGGGGAGGACATTAGGTCCCCCCCCCTATTCCAATTTAGGTCCCCCACCCACCACTCATGGGTGGGGGCCAGGGGGGAGGACATAAGGTAGTCCCCCCTATTCCAATTTAGGGCCCCCACCCACCGCTCAAGGGTGGGGGCCGGGGGAAGGACATTAGGCCCCCCCCTTATTCCAATTTAGGGCCCCCACCCACCGCTCAGGGGTGGGGGCCAGGGGGAGGACATTAGGTCCCCCCCTTATTAGTATTTAGGGCCCCCACCCGCCGCTCAGGGGTGGGGGCCAAGGGGGAGGACATTAGGTCCCCACCCCTTATTTTACTGTAGGGCCCCCACCCGCTGCTCAGGCGTGGGGGCCAGGGGAGAGGACATTAGGTCCCCCCTTATTAGTATTTAGGGCCCCCACCCACCGCTCAGGGGTGAGGGCCGTGGGGGAGGACAATAGGTCCCCCCATCATTTTACCATTTTACTTTAGGACCCCCACCAGCCGCTCAGGGGTGGGGGCCAGGGGGGCCTATTTTTTTTTTTAAATAGTGAGCAGCCACAGGCTATACCGCGAGTAGGGGAAAAATTTACTAATACTAAGTAATTTTTACTTAGTATTAGTAAATTTGGCTGAAAGACCAATTTAGGTCTTTCAGCCTTTTGGTAGATAACTCCCTAATACCGTGGGAATTAGTGAGTTATCTACTAAGAGGCTGCAAGAAAAGTCCCGAAATTGCCGAATTTCCGAAGTGCCGAATTTCGGAATGCTGAGCCGAACCGAACCGAAAATTTTCCTCATGCACATGCCTAAAATGCACCTGTGTTCGTTGTCCATAACATACTGTTCTCTCAAAGTCACTAGTTCAGGTGTGGAGCAAGATCTTATGTCTCACATCAGCCCCTGAAAGGCTAGCACTATGAAAAAAATATTTTAAAAACAAAATGGCAGCCAGAATAACTTCAGGTAAGGTGACAAACTGAGAAATCTCCCAGATAACCAATTCAACCTCAAGCACATTACTGCACAGCCTCAAAGGACCTCCATCTTCAGTATTTTAACATTTTTGAAAAAAGAAAAACAATGATTGATTTCTGAACATATTCTTGTCTTGATTCAATAATGCTTTTGTTCAGGGACGTATTAGCCGCGAGGAAAACAAGACATTTTCCTTGGGCGGCATTTTTCAGATGCCCAGGGCAAATGTCTTGTTAGCCTTTGCGGCTAACTGACAAGCCAGACGGGCGGTCGACGCTGGTGAGGGAGCACTTTCCCCAGTGCGCCGCAGAGTGATGCTGGGAGCCGGAATATGACGCCAGCGCCGCCCGCCCAGCCGACCGTCAGCCCCAGGAAAAGGGAGAAACCCCCCCCAGCATTCCCAAAGGTAAGGAGGCTGGGGGCGGGGTTGAATTTTTAAAAGAAAAAGTGAGTGTGTTAATGTGTGAGTGAGTGTGTGTGTCTATTAGTGAGTGTGTGTGTGTCTGTTAGTGTGTGTGACTCTTAGTGTGTGCAGACACACACACTAACAGACACACACACACTCACTAACAGACACATTAGTGAGTGTGTGTGTCTGTTAGTGTGTTTGTCTGTTAGTGTATGTGTGTCTGTTAGTGAGTGTGTCTGTTAGTGAGTGTAAGGAAACCAAGTACATTTAAACCTTAATCGGTAGTTTCCTCCCGAACAGCCAGAGCCCAGTGAATATAGCCCTCCGTTCGGTGGTTATAGTAGACGAATTCCCAATTGTAAATCCAATAGTGTTCCTGGATAATTCCCACAGTAAAACACACAAACTCCCAAACAGCATACGTAGTCAGAATAAGGGTACAAAGATGAACTGAGGTTTAATGACAGGCATGCTCTTTTTATGGAATTCAGCCCATGCAAGGGAGCCTCCCATATAATTAGCCATACATCCAATCCTAACAATATACATACTGTACATCTCCTCCCCTCAGATAACCATTAAACACAATTAAAACGTACCAGAAATTCCCCAAAGTTTGGATGTACCCCAAGGACTTGGGGTACAGGCATAATTTTGGTGTCCCAATAGATAGCTATTGTCTGGGAGACCAACATATTAAAATCTCAGGCCATTCGGTTCAGCCGTTCGGGAGATATAGGACTTAGAAGTTTTGACCGACTGCACGGGCAAAGTAGCCGAAAACAGTTCCATGAATTCTGGCCCTGCAGTCGGTCTTAGATCGCATGAAAAACCTCCCGAACGGCCGGCCATCCAGCTACCATCCTTGGTTCGCTGGATTCCCCATCTGTTGGTAAGTCTTTCTACCGAACTCCCGGTCGTTCGGTAGTTTGGAAGGGGTTTTACCGAAGGTCTGGAGGCGTCAGCCGTGTTCGCCTGTTTGAGGGTCCGTTTTCAGTTCCAGACATTCAATGGCAAACACCGCTGTTCGGAAGCTAAAATGGCCGCGAATACGAGGAAGTCCCGAAATGGCAGCGAGGCCTGCCGTTCGTGCAAAACTTCTGCCGAACGTAATCCAGCCAGCAAGGGGGTACAGTCTGTATAAAGGGGTGACAGGGGGGTCTGCATTCGGTAGTTTTACCTACCGAATGCCATAGGGAAACATTGCTATAAATACAAATACAAAGAGGGCATATACAGTTAAAAAAAAGGCATTTCTTCACAGTGAGTGTGTCTGTTAGTGAGTCTGTGTGTGTCTGTTAGTGAGTGTATGTCAGGGAGTGTGTCTGTTATGGAGTGTGTTACTATGTGTGTGTCTGTTAGTGAGAGTGTATGCGTGTCTGTTAGTGAATGTGTGTGTCTGCTAGTGACTGTATGTGTCTGTTAGTGAAACAGTGTGTATGTCGGTTAGCTAGTGTATGCGTGTCTGTCAGTGAATGTGTGTGTGTGTATTTAGAAGGTGGGGAAGAGGGTGGTGCGAGGAGGGGGCGCCTGGGTTTTGGCATGCCTAGGGCAGCACAAAACCAGGATACACCACTGCCTTTGTTCCAGTATTCCAAATAAGAGGAACATAAATTACTAATGTGATTGTTTAAGTAAAGTTCAACCTTTCAGCTTGTGACTCTTAATGAAAACCATATGAGATAACTGCCTACTGCATATTTTCTCTGGAACTACAAATAAGGCACTCAAGAATTGAACTAAATGCTAAATGTAATCTTGGTAGGGAAAATGCTATATTTGAGCATTTATATATTCATACGCTTTACTAACTACTAGATCCTAGTTTCATTTTAGCAAATTTCTCAATTGCATTTCAAGGTTGTCAATGATCTTACAGCCTGCCATTTTTGGAAACACAAAATGGCAATGTTGGACTTGTACGAGTCCCGGTGGTTTGATTCGATTGCATTTTCAGTGACACTCTGTATTATGGTCATAGGCGTGCACCCTAAAGCACAAACACACACAACGCGTGTATATATATATATATATATATATATATATATATATATATATATACTCTCATAATATTGTAAAGCGCTACGGAATCTGCAATAATAATAATAATATATATATATATATATATATATATATATATATATATATATATATATATATAATTCCGAAATAGAAATGGTTGCTCTCCGGTCTTTAAAAATAAGAAATTTATTGAATAAAGTTTAAATAAATTTTTAAAGACCGGAGAGCAGCCATTTCTATTTCGGAATTATATATATATATATATATATATATGTAAAAAAACAGATAAAATTCTTATCTTGTAATACCTTTTTTATTGGACTAACAGAGTTTTTTAATGACAAGCTTTCGGGAGAACCTCCCTTTCTCAAGTCTGAAGCATTTCTGAGCAAAACGACACATAGAATTCAAAGTTGAGTTGTGATACAGGGGTTAAAGCGACATGAGTGTAGATAAGACACAGGTTTGTTAGAAAATAGACACCATCTTAGCAGAGGGTCATAAATATCTTGTTGAAGAGAAGAGTAGGGGGGAGAGAGGGAAAAGAAAAACAAACAAGCAGACAGTGCACAGGATGATACACTTTATACATGCACACACACAGAAATATGTATATGTGAACGCATAAACACATGTATATATACATATACATAAACACATATACATACATGCACATGGACTCATATACACAAATATAAATGCACAGTAATATATATAAGCATTCATGCATACGAGTATGGGAAAGCATAGGTCTACACATGGTACTTTGTATATAGATAGAATAAGCATATAGGAATGCATTTTAAAGTGTTGGTACACATGAACACTGGGAGAGTGTTCATGTAAAGTGTTGGTAGTGGGACAGGAATCCCAAATCAATATTTAGTCCTCTCTTCTTGCTGTTAAACCATTTAATCATTCTGGCTTCAAAGGCTTTTCTTTCCTGGGTATTTTTAAAACTCCCTTTCAGTACTTTGATTTTTAGGTCCTTCAGTGAGTGGCCAGGCTGGGTAAAGTGGTGTCCCACAGGAGTGCAGTATGATTCTTCTTTGTGGTGTTTAATAGAGTGTCTGTGCATGTTCATTCTGCCATTTAATGGCTGGGTGGTTTCCCCAATGTAGCATCCTAGGTGGCATTTTATGCATTTAATCATGTATACCACATTGCTGGATGTGCAGGAGTATGAACCTTTAATGCTGTAGGTTTTATTGTTGTGTGTGGCTGTGTTGTCTGTGCATATGTGCTGACACAGTTTGCAGCGAGGTTTTTTGCATTGACTGGTCCCGTTTTCCTTGTTCTTACCATCAGTGGGCAGCCTCCTGTTGATTAATTTTTGTTGGAGGTTTGGTGGTTGTCTGAAGGCCAAAATGGGTGTTTCAGGGAAAATGTTTTTCAGAGTCTCATCTTCTGTTAATATTGGTTGTAGGTCTTTGATGATTTTCCGTATTTCCTCAAGAGCAGGGTTGTAGGTGACCACAAGTGGCACTCGTGTGCATATTTTTTTCTCTCTGTATTGTAGCAGGCGCGTACGTGGCGTTTTTACAGCAGAGTTGATTTGTTTGGTAATAGTTTTTGGTTTGTAGCCTTTCTGTCTCATAGATTGGGAGAGTACATTTAGATGGGAATTACGGTCATTAGGATCAGAGCATATGCGATGGTACCTAGTGGCTTGGCTGTAGATGATGCCCTGTTTAGTATGAGAGGGGTGGAAGCTGGAGCTGTGTAGGTAACTGCACCTGTCTGTGGGTTTTCTGTAAACCGAGGTGTGGATTGTGCCATTATCACATGTCACAGTTGTGTCCAGAAAATTCACAGATCTAGTGGAATATTCCATTTTTAGTTTGATTGATGGATGGAATGTGTTGAAAGAGTCATGGAACTGTATCAGTTTTTCTTTGCTTTCAGTCCAAATTATGAAGATATCATCGATGTAGCGATAATATTTGTATGGTTTGGTGTGTTGGTTTTCTAGGAATCTCTGTTCAAGATCTGCCATAAACAGATTAGCATATTGGGGTGCCATCTTAGTGCCCATAGCAGTGCCCATGGTTTGTAGGTAAACCTCATTGTTGAAACTGAAGTAGTTATGTGTGAGGATAAATAGTGCCAGTTCTGTGATAATTCGGGGGCTGTATTTTTGGTTGTTGACATGAGAGAGAAAATGGAAGCAAGCATTGATGCCATCTGTATGTGGAATGTTGCTGTACAGAGATTCCACATCCATGGTTACAAGGATGGTGTTAGCAGGGAGATTGGTGATTTGGCTGAGTTTGTTGAGGAAGTCGGTTGTGTCTTTTATGAAGCTGTTAGTGTTGGTGACTAGAGGTTTTAGGGTATTTTCTACCAGTCCTGAGATCTGTTCTGTGAGAGTTCCCATTCCAGTAATTATGGGTCTTCCAGGATTACCGGCTTTGTGAATTTTGGGAAGCATATAGAAAGTGCCCATGCAGGGACTAGTTGGTATGAGTGATTGCATTTCTAGGTGTAAGTTCTCAGGGAAGGATTTAATGAGCTCCCTAAGTTGTGATGTATATTCCTTGGTGGGGTCTTCATTTAGTTTTCTATAGTATTTGTCATCTGACAATTGCCTGTCACCCTCTTTTATGTAGTCCTGGGTGTTCATTATCACTACTGCTCCTCCCTTGTCTGCTGGTTTGATGGTGATAGCATGATTATTTTTCAGGTCATTTATAGCCATTTGTTCTTGTACTGAGAGATTATGAAACATTTTCTTTTGGTTTTGCTTGGTTGTCAAGGATACTGTTCTTAGACGGAAACTTTCAATGTAACTGTCCAGTTTGGCATTTCGTCCTGGTGCTGGACTGAAATTAGTGTTTTTTTTCCGGTTGTTGTAATCCATTGTGGTTTCAGTGCTCTCTTTGTCATGGAAGTATTCCTTAAGTCGCATCCTTCTGAAAAATTCTTCCACATCAGAGTAGAGCCCAATGTCATCAAGTTTTGTGCTAGGGCAAAATGATAGTCCTTTGGAGAGAACTGATGTTTCTGGGTCAGATAGTTTGTAATCCGAAATGTTAACAATACCAGATTTCTCTTGCCATTTCTCTTTCTTTGCCAAATGTTTGTGATAATCCTGCTGTAGTCTGATGAGTTTATTATTTTTCTTCTTAAAAAGGTCCCTTTGTTGCTTT